GGGGCGATTGTATGTCACTGCATAGCGCCTATATCTACTTACTGTACTATCGTAGAGTGCCTGTTGGTTTGTCGTTGGCTGCGGTATGTTGAGTAGCCGTGGTGACCGGAATGGACAATTCATCAGTTTGGCCTTTCATAGGCTGTATTACGTTGATCGTGTCCGTGGCGGTTGTCCCAGCCTGAAGAACGTGTACTGTTTTATATGTGGTTGATTTGATGAACTTTACATCACGGCAGTACGACGGTACTGTTTAACAGCCTTAGTCTGACGACTAGCAGTGGTATTTCTAGCGCATAGCGAGTTTCCTACGAGTTGTGTCGGAGACTGTGTACTGCAAAGGTGGTTCCCAAGTATGTAAGTATTCCAGTACTTTCGATGTTCTCTAATCGTGGTACTCTTATAATATAAGCGCTAGAACTCTTGTATTTGACCGTTCTTTATGCGGTGGGCCAGGTTTAGTGTCCTCGGACCAATGGACTCGTCGCTTTTATTCGGGGCAGACGTGAAGAGTCTTGTAATCGTTGTCGATAGGGTTATCGAGTGGACTAGTAGAGTCTTTCTCTCCTTTGGCGTCGTACCCAGATAAAATACAGAATTTGTTGATACAGATGGCTTGATTAAATACTTTATCTCGCAAACGTCGTCGGGTCATACGCATGTTGATGATGCTGATGAGTAAACTACTAGGCTTAAACCGTGAAGAATGCGCGAAGTGGGATGACGTCCGATGTTCTCGTACGGTTCTTGTCGGGTGGTTGGTGTCTCATCTAGAGTGGAAGACGTAGTACTGGTTGAACTGCCGTCGGTGGATGTAGAGTTTAGTTGTGTAGATGCCTTGGCTGTCAATAACAAAGATGCCTTGGCTGTCAATAACAAAGATGCCTTGGCTGTCAATAACAAAGATGCCTTGGCTGTCAATAACAAAGATGCCTTGGCTGTCAATAACAAAGATGCCTTGGCTGTCAATAACAAAGATGCCTTGGCTGTCAATAACAAAGATGCCTGCGAGTCACTACATATAGCTTATGATTGACCGTCATTACTGT